GTCGGTAGTTGCAGTTTTTGGACGTCCTGAACGTTCATCGTCTCCCAAGCTCTTACGGCCACGTTTAAATTCAGCGGCCCAAAATTTCACTGTCGTAAATGATGGTGCAGAGTCCCCATACACAGAATCCAACTCATCTTTGATTTGCGTAGGCGTATTGCCTTTCAAAAACAAATATTTAATGACAGCTCGATACTCGATTTTGTCCATTTTCACAAAAACACTCACATCAACTTACTCAAACGACTGTTACATAACAACTGCGAGTCCAAAATGGCTGAAACTTCGGTGAGTAACTGTCAACAGATGAACAACGAAATTCACTAGCTTTTATTTACAAGTGCTGCTATCTTCACGTTGAGGTCGGAAACTTTTCAGACCACCCTCGTATATGTTCTTATTTAAAATTTTGAAGTTATCTTCGATTTCGATCATTTCCAATTTTTTTCGGAAAATCGTAGTAGCACCAATTGATTCTATGGGTTTAAGATTTGCTAAAATTTTTATAAACATTTTTTGTTCATCTTCGTATGATACTCTGTTGTCGAATAAAAAAGATGGCATGAGTGGTCTGATACACCCTGTGTGTGTTATGTATAATGTGTGTGTTATGTGTATGTATGTATGTATGTATGTGTATATATATATATATATATATATATATATATATATATATATATATATATAATGTTGCAATTAAAATATGAATTCGTTACAAATTTGCTTTTATTTTTTGTTTATTAATATCTGTGTATTTATAAACTTATATATACAGAAATAATACAAGCTGAAAAATGATTATGCCTCTATTTCTTCTAATGTTGTGAGGAAAGAGGCCTTCTTCTGCGCTACACGATTCTTTCTTTCCGATAATGATAATTTGGCGCGATTCCATCTCTTCTTAATGGGTTCCTTATCTTTGATAATCTTCTTATACTCTGGGTTAGCCCGAATTTGCTCATGAGCCTTCTTATAGATGTTCTCAATCTAAATTAAAAAATGTTTTTCATGTTACAATTTAACGCCTTAATATGTATTAATAACAATGTAACATAGGTTTATTTAGATAAATGCAATTTATGCATTTATATATTACAACCAATGGAAGTTGCTGTTGTCCAACTGCAACGCTGCATAAATTTATAATTTAAGTAGCAATTATAAGTTGGACGTATATTTTATACATTATTTTATGTAATTTATATAAATGTAATATTCAAAATTATATTTTAATCGCTTACATCGTTCGCAGAGATGCCATGCTTGATATATTGGGAAAACTGTTTTTTAAAGGCTTCATCATCTTCTTCTTCAAGGGTTTTCATATAATTTGCAACATGTTGACCGAATATATGTTGCCTATGTATATCTGCATTGAATGCCTTTGATTCATTATCATACCCGGGAAATCTTTTGGTACTGTAAAACAAAATGATATAAAACCTTTAAAATATTGCCAACATTTTATAATTTTATTATGTTTGTATGAAACTTTTGACTTATTATTATTAAACATCAAGAAAAAAACAAAGTTTGAAATTACTTAAATATGTATGATAAAATCACAAGTTACCATATGCATTTATACCTGACTTCAATATTATTTTTCTTTACTTTATATGAGAATTCATATTTGATTAATAGCAGAACATTGATAATATTGATACATTAATTCAATATAGTATATAATATTGATCAATTATTTCAATATAGACAAATTGATATCAGAGTAGAATTATATCTCTGATGTATTACCTATGAGGAATATTAAGTCCTCCATCAACTGCACCTTTCATAGCACCAAAAACTCGTGCACCTGTTGTGGTACGCATTAAACCAGTATCCAGATAACATCTAAATGCACCTGGGCCATCATCCAATCCTTCAACATTGTACTCATCACCAGTTACATCTGTGGTACCAACGTACAAAGTATCCAATCCTAATTTCTTCAACAACTATTAAAAAAGGTATAATCAATTTTAACTCTAACCAATTTATTGATATTCTATAAATATTTTTATATTTATCATCAGAATAATTGGGAAAAGTTTTTCTTCAGTCAAACATCAAAGCGAGCTGGGGTTATCATCATGTTAACATTTTGTCATATTTTTTACAAGCATATTTTGAAAAACAGAGAGAATGACTTACCCTTCTTGCCAAAAGTAAGCCAGTACAATATGCAGATGCATAATTAGTAAGACCAACTTTCACTCCATATTCAGGAAGTTCATGACTATAAGCAGCACATACAATTCGATCTCCTTCAATTCTTGAATAAGCAACCTTATAATACAATACATATTGTTAATCATAATATACAATTTATGTGAATTATGATACACTAGTTTAATATAGAATATTTAAACATGTATTAAATTTAATACATATATATTATTTATATATATATAAATATATATAATTCTACTTACTTGACAAGTAATATCTTTATTAGATAATCGTACAATCAACCTATATTTAGGAGTATTATATTTATTTTTGTCTTGTATAGTTAATCTTTTTCGAGCATAGTAATCAGTTTTCCCTTGACGTCGCCTCTTGAATTTAACTTGATATCGCTTAAAATATTGCTTATTCTTGACTACTTTGACGAAACCCTATGCAAAAATTTATAAAAATAGTTATATTCATGACCTTACTATTTTTTACTTTATTGAAAAAATATTTGGAATTTTTGTAGTTTAACATCTTGGGAATATTTTAAGATATATAAAATGAATTATATATAATTTAAAGCATAATAAATTTCTAAAAATTGCCTAAAAGTAGAAAATGTGTGAATCTCTCCATAGAGAACATCACTATAAAGCGATAACGAATCTCTCTGAAAAATAACCATCCTATTTTTTTCGTTCATTTTAAATAATTGATTTGTATTTAATACAATTGAATTTATTAAATAATCTTAATATTAAGAAAAATTGACCTTACATACCATTATATCTCAGATAAAACAAGAGAAGCCAACGCGACCACGCGACAAACTATCCTCCACCAACAGAATCCAGAGGAAATAAGAAGGATGTAGAGCCCAAACTCGCCTTTATAAAAAGTGCATTCTGGTTTGCAGTGCCATCTACGCCTGGCCCCGGATGTGGCTAAACTAAACGGATGACGTTTGCAAAGTGAGCCCTATGCACGATGCCAGGCAACAGAGAATAGGAATTCAGATTGGTCAATTATTTTCATTCCACGTTCTTATTGGTTAATGCCTATTCCTATTGGCCCGTATTCTGAGTTCTCTTTTAATGGAAGCGTCCCGATTGACCACGGTACGATTGGACACAACTAACCGATGAAAAGACTTATCTAGTGAATTACTAGGTCGAACCAATTATTACAATCTGTATATATATATATATATGTCGAATAAAAAAGATGGCATGGGAGGTCTGATACACCCTGTGTGTGTGTCGTGTATAATATATATACACATATATATATATACGTATACATATATATACATATATATATGTTGCAATTAAAATATGAATTCGTTACAAATTTGCTTTTATTTTTTGTTTATTAATATCTATGTATTTACAAACTTATATATACAGAAATAATACAAACTGAAAAATGATTATGCCTCTATTTCTTCTAATGTTGTGAGGAAAGAGGCCTTCTTCTGCGCTACACGATTCTTTCTTTCCGATAATGATAATTTGGCGCGATTCCATCTCTTCTTAATGGGTTCCTTATCTTTGATAATCTTCTTATACTCTGGGTTAGCCCGAATTTGCTCATGAGCCTTCTTATAGATGTTCTCAATCTAAATTAAAAAATGTTTTTCATGTTACAATTTAACGCCTTAATATGTATTAATAACAATGTAACATAGGTTTATTTAGATAAATGCAATTTATGCATTTATATATTACAACCAATGGAAGTTGCTGTTGTCCAACTGCGACGCTGCATAAATTTATAATTTAAGTAGCAATTATAAGTTGGACGTATATTTTATACATTAATTTATGTAATTTATATAAATGTAATATTCAAAATTATATTTTAATCGCTTACATCGTTCGCAGAGATGCCATGCTTGATATATTGGGAAAACTGTTTTTTAAAGGCTTCATCATCTTCTTCTTCAAGGGTTTTCATATAATTTGCAACATGTTGACCGAATATATGTTGCCTATGTATATCTGCATTGAATGCCTTTGATTCATTATCATACCCGGGAAATCTTTTGGTACTGTAAAACAAAATGATATAAAACCTTTAAAATATTGCCAACATTTTATAATTTTATTATGTTTGTATGAAACTTTTGACTTATTATTATTAAACATCAAGAAAAAAACAAAGTTTGAAATTACTTAAATATGTATGATAAAATCACAAGTTACCATATGCATTTATACCTGACTTCAATATTATTTTTCTTTACTTTATATGAGAATTCATATTTGATTAATAGCAGAACATTGATAATATTGATACATTAATTCAATATAGTATATAATATTGATCAATTATTTCAATATAGACAAATTGATATCAGAGTAGAATTATATCTCTGATGTATTACCTATGAGGAATATTAAGTCCTCCATCAACTGCACCTTTCATAGCACCAAAAACTCGTGCACCTGTTGTGGTACGCATTAAACCAGTATCCAGATAACATCTAAATGCACCTGGGCCATCATCCAATCCTTCAACATTGTACTCATCACCAGTTACATCTGTGGTACCAACGTACAAAGTATCCAATCCTAATTTCTTCAACAACTATTAAAAAAGGTATAATCAATTTTAACTCTAACCAATTTATTGATATTCTATAAATATTTTTATATTTATCATCAGAATAATTGGGAAAAGTTTTTCTTCAGTCAAACATCAAAGCGAGCTGGGGTTATCATCATGTTAACATTTTGTCATATTTTTTACAAGCATATTTTGAAAAACAGAGAGAATGACTTACCCTTCTTGCCAAAAGTAAGCCAGTACAATATGCAGATGCATAATTAGTAAGACCAACTTTCACTCCATATTCAGGAAGTTCATGACTATAAGCAGCACATACAATTCGATCTCCTTCAATTCTTGAATAAGCAACCTTATAATACAATACATATTGTTAATCATAATATACAATTTATGTGAATTATGATACACTAGTTTAATATAGAATATTTAAACATGTATTAAATTTAATACATATATATTATTTATATATATATAAATATATATAATTCTACTTACTTGACAAGTAATATCTTTATTAGATAATCGTACAATCAACCTATATTTAGGAGTATTATATTTATTTTTGTCTTGTATAGTTAATCTTTTTCGAGCATAGTAATCAGTTTTCCCTTGACGTCGCCTCTTGAATTTAACTTGATACCGCTTAAAATATTGCTTATTCTTGACTACTTTGACGAAACCCTATGCAAAAATTTATAAAAATGGTTATATTCATGACCTTACTATTTTTTACTTTATTGAAAAAATATTTGGAATTTTTGTAGTTTAACATCTTGGGAATATTTTAAGATATATAAAATGAATTATATATAATTTAAAGCATAATAAATTTCTAAAAATTGCCTAAAAGTAGAAAATGTGTGAATCTCTCCATAGAGAACATCACTATAAAGCGATAACGAATCTCTCTGAAAAATAACCATCCTATTTTTTTCGTTCATTTTAAATAATTGATTTGTATTTAATACAATTGAATTTATTAAATAATCTTAATATTAAGAAAAATTGACCTTACATACCATTATATCTCAGATAAAACAAGAGAAGCCAACGCGACCACGCGACAAACTATCCTCCACCAACAGAATCCAGAGGAAATAAGAAGGATGTAGAGCCCAAACTCGCCTTTATAAAAAGTGCATTCTGGTTTGCAGTGCCATCTACGCCTGGCCCCGGATGTGGCTAAACTAAACGGATGACGTTTGCAAAGTGAGCCCTATGCACGATGCCAGGCAACAGAGAATAGGAATTCAGATTAGTCAATTATTTTCATTCCACGTTCTTATTGGTTAATGCCTATTCCTATTGGCCCGTATTCTGAGTTCTCTTTTAATGGAAGCGTCCCGATTGACCACGGTACGATTGGACACAACTAACCGATGAAAAGACTTATCTAGTGAATTACTAGGTCGAACCAATTATTACAATCTGTATATATATATATATATGTCGAATAAAAAAGATGGCATGGGAGGTCTGATACACCCTGTGTGTGTGTCGTGTATAATATATATACACATATATATATATACGTATACATATATATACA